TTCCAAAACTATAAAAATGATTTTTGTCTGATTGTTTCCAACACTTGGAAGTAGTTTTTGGCCTGGGCTCATATGGACCTGGGATCATTTGAGATGTTCTATTTTCCTTTTAAAAGGATAGAGCAGGCTTAGGTGACATCCTGGGCCCTCCAACTTTGTAGGTCTACAGGCCCAAACAGCACACATGAAGGATACCACTAAAGCCCACCTGTATATCCAAAACCTAGGTACACTCATCAATCTCCTGACGGTTTTGAGTTCTTGCTCCTGTCAGGTTGGCACTTGATCTACCATCCATAGTATTGTCACCTTGTATCATTTGTCATAATCCGAGGCATTACTGGCACCAATCTGGCTATATGTGGATGTTAGATATATCACGGTACTAGTGATGGCCGTGACTCCCCATGCTATCCATATGTCAGGCGACGTTTGATGGAGTATCAGGTTACCATATACTCCGTCCGTTCCCAAATATAAGTCTTTCTAGAGATTCCAATAAGTGACTACATACGGAGCAAAATGAGTGAATCTACTCTAAAAAATGTCTACATACATCCGTATGTTGTAGTCCATTTGAAATGTCTAAAAAGACTTATATTTAGGAACGGAGGGTGTAATTCGTTAAGTTGAAAATGACATAGTTAGTTGCTTTTGATACTCTTGGCACTAGAGTGTGGTGGAGAAACATTCTGGTGGTAAACCTCTAAAATGAAGCCATAGTTATAGTATAATGCTGTTAGCGAACATTTTTCTGCCATATATCATAATTTACCGGTAGTCGGCAATTGGTTCAAGCTTCACACATGTTACTGCATAGTTAACGCAAACATGAACCAGAGTAAAATTTAGTTTGGAATTTTGAAACGGAAACAAACTGAAAGAGCTAAATTGAGTTGCAATGATTTATTAATTCAAGCACAGCAACACACTCGCAAAAGATAGTGGCACCCAACAAATTAACCGGTACAATAAAGAAAACCCGCCAACTTACCTTTACAATTTTGCATCTGAGCTATCAGTTACTCAACAAAGGTGAAAGAGCATTACCACTTTCTTCGTTTTCCAATGTATTGCCACAAATTTTGCCAGGTTCTGAATGAGTTCGCTGCAGCTGAACCACATCTTCCATGCAAGCGGCTAGCAGACGGTTCGAAACGGGTTCAGCTCTCACAATTTCCACAAGAGCAGGCAAGCATCATTTCACCGATCTTGTGTATCTCGTAAGCATCCTACCAGTGCATGTGCTGACTCTCTTGTTTGTTTCAGTTACCAGAGGACAAAATATGGATTGGATTCAAGCGGTCGGAGTGCATTGTTCATCTTGATTCTTGATTAATAATAACAATCACATAACCATAGCTAGAGAACCGCTCATTGTGCGCACTCTGATTTGTGAAATTAGACAATTGGCGAGTATTTATTTATTTGTTTTGTGCACCTCCAAACCCATAATATGTAATGTGCCTGTTGTATAAGCTGCTACATGGAATTGAAACTTGCATCAACTGGTTTTGGGTATCCATGGCCTAATTAGTAGTATTATTTTTGGTGCAATAAAGTTGTGAATCATTTAAACTGTTCTGCCAGGCATGTTCAGCTGCATTGCTTAGTACAGACAGATATAAAACCAATCTTAGCCTGTTATTAGACCGGGTGCTTGCTGAAATGCCTTTCCTTCAGTTATGAGGGAGAAATTTTCAGAATGTTATAGCTTTTTTATGTCGGCTATCTTGCTGTCATCCCACTTGATAGGACTGGCCAGACGGAGGAAAATGATGTAAGATTCTTTTGCTTGCTCTAGTTGGAGCAATTGAAAGACTTCTTTAAGCTTGTCAGCGTCACGAGGGGACACAAGATCCCCCGAGGAAACATGTCTTGCGTAATATATAACGTACCTTCACCTCGCAAACGCCTTTTGGATACTACTCCTACTTTTTTTTGGATGTAATAACAACTGAAGTTGCTGCAAATAATGGCACTTCATTTTTGCCAACCTTGCACCCTTTTAATTGCTTAACGAGGGAGCAATAGATCGTACCCTTTCCATAGAATACAGCTATGCAGCATTGTACTCCCTCCGTTTCTAAATATTTGTCTTTTTAGAGATTCAAATGGCCTACCACATACGGATGTATATAGACATATTTTAGAGTGTAGATTCACTCATTTTGCTCCGCATGTAGTCACTTGTGAAATCTCTAGAAAGACAAATATTTAGGAACGGAGGGAGTATGACGCAACTGAAATTTGTATAAGAACTCAGCTCAAAAAGGGAGAAGAAAATAATTTTGTATAAGAACATGATCACCCTATCCGGCCCTATATGCACATGGCCTTGTCCCCTCCCGTAGCTGGCTTTGGAGATATGGAGATGGGCGACGTTTTTGAGTGTGCATCACACCACCAGCGCATGAAACATTGGCAATGTTTCTTGTGTACAGGCACGTCTAATTAACACAGAGGAATGAACCTGGACACCACGGAACAGCTTCATAATCATAATTAAACAAGGCTGCCGGGCGATTATTTGTCCAACGGCAGCATGATAATTGATTAATTGAGCACTGCTGTTGGACAAACCGCAAGATCCCTGCAGTGGAACCGGTAGTGGTAGTGGTAGGGTAGCCACCATCTGACTTGTTCTTTTTTGCATAATAATGGAAGGGCATCTTCTGCCTTTTCTGCGTGCTAAACAAAAATACTATTTGATTGTACGTAAACAACAGTGACATGCCGATGACATATTTCTCACGTATACATACTACACATGTGTAACAACAAGATAAAACATAGGAAGTAGGAGTACGTAGTATATTATGGTACAGAGTTGGGCAATCAAGAGTCGTAATCTTGAAATGGTAGCAAACGGTCAGCTCCTGCTCTTGCATTTCTCCATTGCCCTTGGCGCTGAAAAAACAGAAGGCAAACGGAGTTAGCAAACGGTCGCTGATCATGCAGATGTAGAACTGAGAATTAAGAGCATGGTCGAGGAGGCACCGACCGAGGCCGATGGCTTCTGATCCCTTCATTATCCGGAGGCGCTTGCACGACGCCACGAACATCCTGCCATGAGCGAGAGGAGGAAGAAGAAGAAGAAGAGATTATTAGTAAGTGAGAAACACCAACATGAGAAGAGAAAACATGCATGCATGGCATGCATGCGCTTTAACCAATTACTCACTCCCAGGGGACGTCGCCGACGAGCATCCAGTCGCCGTCCTTGTCCTCGTAGGTGGGCACGTAGTCGGAGCCGCTGAGCAGGTCCACCAGCTTGCTCTCGTTCATGCCCGTCATCCCCTGAGCCTGAGCCTGAGAGCAGTCGTTGCCGATGGTGAAGGAGCTGAACATCTTCTCCAGGGCCTTGGACAGCTCCTGGTAGCTCTTGTAGGTGCCCATGTCCACCTTGCGCAGGTAGGGCGCGCCGTCCATGCTCACCTTCACCAGCGCCGCCCCCCCTCTCTCCGCCGCCGCCAGCATGTTCCTCCGGAACGACCGCACCGGCGGCCACCCCACCGCCTGCGCCCTGCTCCACGTGCCAACATCAATCAGTCAGTTCATAATCGTTCACATGGATGATGGTGGTGGTGATGATGATGATGGCGAGGCCGGAGGACATGCAGTGCGCAGACATTTTGCAGGGCCAAAATAGGCCCCTTTTTATCGTGTCGGCAGGGCCGGCACTAGCTGCGGTTCTCCCCGTGCCATTGTTGCGCCCACCCCACCACCACATGCGTTGCTGCATTATCAGTGTACGTGCCCGCGTATCCAGTTCGGATCCAAATGTTCCCCGGAAACGCAGATGCAAAAGTGCTTTTTCCTCTCTCTTTTCCCCCTCACACAAGCGTGCATGCCACTAAAATTTGTGTGCTAGAGTGTAACATGCACGCATGATGTTGTAATTATGCAAGCTTAGTTTCTTTTTCCTAGGCTAATTCTAAAACATAGTACGCACTACCTTTTTCTTCCGAAAATTAAAGCACTTTCATCCTAAGAACTATGAATGATCCTCTTCTTTGAGAGAACGGGAGGGTCTTGACATTTTTCTGGAGAGAGCTAGTACGTAACAGGGAATCACATTGGCATGCAAAAAAAAAGTAACGAGGGACGACGAGGACGTACTTGGGCGCGCGCGGCTTCTCGGGGTCCGCGTCCGGCTGCGGGGTGGTGACCACGCTGCTCTGGCTCGGCGACCGCTTCAACTGCCCGTCGGCAGCAGCCGGAGACGGCTGCGCCTCCGCGACGCCGTCGGCCACTTGCTCGCCGTCCTCGGACGGCGGCGCGGCCGCCGACGCCGGCTCCAGCTTCAGCACGAGGTCGATGGTCTCGGCGTAGCCCCTCTTGCCGGAGCTCCTCACCGCGGCGGCCGCCTCCTCGGCCTCGTTGCTGCCGCCTGGCAGGCCGAGCCGGAGCTCGGTCTCCTCGAACCCGAGGCCCGCCATTGGTCTCCTGCTCCAACGCAGCAGCCGCCCTTGGGTTTCTTCTTCGCCCCTCCTTGTGAGTTTGCTTTCGCGTGTGTCTGCTGCTGCTTGGGCTTGGCTTGTGAGCAGAGCACAAATAGACGGGAGGGGACGAAGAATGAGATGATGGCGGCCGGGTGGATGGTTACAAAAGAGTATGGTTCCCTCTTGCCGGAAGTGGCGTAGGATATTGCAATAGAAATCCCTATATAATATCAGAATGAACAGGATACGTATGCAATTTGGCCATGTCCGTGCAAAAGTAGGTTAAATGGTACGTACACGCTCCATTCCAATGGAGTGCTACCGATGGTTGTGTCAGTGCAACGTATCGTACCGTCAGCCTATGCACGCAAACGCAAGTACGTATAGCAGTAGTATTTATTGTGGTACATGCTGGCAACGAATCATCTCATTACATCGAGGTTCATGGACCACCAAACAACCATTGCCACCGCCAGAACAAGCCGCCGATGCGTTATTATCGTCGCTCCCATACCGAAACCGGCCTGACCTTGTCGATGACAGCTGAGAAGTCTTCATTCATGTGCCCCCAAGGACTAGCATCTCGGAACCGCAATCGTCGCCGTTGAATCCTTAAAACAATCTAAAGAAGCGTACACATCGCGAGAAATCCTAACCTCGCCGCTCCGAGGAGCTGGCAGAAATCTACGCCGGAGGTCCGTCTAATCCAACCCAACAGATGGACTTGACATATAAATATCATATTACTACTTGTTAGTAGCTTGTATCTGTACTACACCTCGCAAAAAAAGAGAGGAAGTTCTCATTTGTTCCTAGTCGAAAAACATGTCAACATCTACTACATCAAACTAGATTCATTAGATTTATCATAAAAATATACTCCCACCGTCTTAAAATAAGTGTCTTGAGATCTAATACAAAGTTGAGACACTTATTTTAAGACGGAGGGAGTAGTACACATGGAGTACATATTTAAAATTCTGCGATAGAGCTGGTTCACTGGACAGGGTGCATGCACGGGAGGGAGCTCTCAGCCGACTGTTCTTTGGGCCCCTGACCCGATTGTGCCGTACGGAGTGCCCACACGGTGGGCACACCTACGTTTCACGTACACTTGCGGCTCCCTGCATGCATGTGCCGATGTTTTTGGTCCCTAGCCCGACGTACAGGTGTAGGGATCAGTAGCGGATGAATGGGGCTACGAGCTCGTGACTTTTTGCTGCACATCGTGTACGGCCCCGGCAGGGGGCCAAGGCCGACGACGCACGCGTGCACGATTTTGCCGTCCGTTCAATTCCAGTGTGCCGTTGTTGCTTCACGTGTGCGCGCCTTGCGTATTCCTGTGGGACTGGCACGCACACAGTTTGTTTTCCAGAGCTTTTTCACGTGCATGGATTCCGATCACGTGGGGGCCTTCTCATCTCTCGGGTTTGTAGGTGTGTATTTTTTCGAATCTACTCCGTCTGTTTTCAAATACGAATCATTTTTTAGAGATTTTAATACAAACTACATATGGATGTATATAAAATATTTTAGTGTAGATTTACTCCTTTTACTCCATGTGTAGTCCCTTATTGAAATCTTTAAAAAAAAATATTTAGAAAGGGGGGCAACTATGATCGGTCATTCGTTCTTGTATAGAAACGTTATTCGGTTGGTTAAGAGGTGGCTATAGATACAAGACGAAAATTGATTGTACATACAAAATAGAACCAACCTCCCGCTGTTTGGAGAACAGTCACTGCACGCGTGAGTGCCACAACCCTTGGCGTCTACTCAGTTCGCTGGCATACCTTGTTATGTCGCCCGTGCCCCGCCTCGGCATTGAGCATCGTCAAGCTTCAGCTTCCTGTGAAGGTCCGATGAAGTCTGCACTTCCCTCTGAGGCGTTTCATTGTGGGTCTTGGGCATTTGTCGTCTCTGACATCACTTGCTCGGCAACCCCGTCTGATGTGGAGTTCCAGTCCACTCTGGCACATTAGTCCAAGCTGCCGCGAGGCTTGCTGGTGCGGGTTGGGAGCTTTCTGAGCGGGCGGGGGTTGCCTTGAGCATGATCTCCCTCGTGCGGACTATGTCGCCGACCGCTCGACGTTATGTCCTTCTGGTGTTTCTGGTGTTTCTGGTGTTGGTTTCATGGAAGACAAGGGGTCAGAGCACTTCGGTTGTTTCTCCCCTCGCGTTGGGGTCAGTTTATCGTCATTGTCTGCCTTGCCTCCTATGTCGCCTACCGTTGTGGGCAAGGCCATCTCTGTGGTCGTTTCTCCCGTGTTGCAGGCCATGTCGGAGCTTCAACAGCTATGTGTGAGACCTGTTTCGCCTCTCTCTCTCTCTATGGAGCATATGGAGTTCGTATCAGCGGCGACCTCATGCAAGGGACATGATTCACCTACGTCATGTGAGCATCTAGAGATAGCTGAGTCCATCGTGTCAGTGGTACCTATGGCTGATGATGTTGAGGCAATCGGTATGTTGAGCCTGATCCTTTGGACCCCAGCCAACTGCTCGCCTTTGTGGACCGTGGAGGTTTCAACGTTGTGGCCACCCACTCGCACATGACCGTTATGCAGGTGGTGTCTGTGCGTGACAAGGCCGATGAGATTTTATTTGAGATAGAGCTTCACAGCTTGCTTGATCGTACGTTTGGAGGCGGCTAGCCCTGGATCTGGCAAGACGATTGGGGAGGAGCCTCTCAGAAGTAGAAGAAAAAAGAGTCGCGTCACAGGAAAGGCATCTGCAACTACTTGATGTATAGCCATTAGTCTCTTGGGTTGTCCTTATGGTCTGGCTTGTCTCCGTGGATTTGGTGGTGCCCATGGTCTTCGATCGAGACACTCTCGTTGGGGGTTTCTTTGAGATGTAGCGGTGTCGGGGTTGATGATCATTACCTGTTGGGTATGATTGTCGGGTTGGTCATTGTCGGTGTATTAAGAATAGGGTCCTTAATACCCTAGACTTATGCACAAGTAGTGGTAGCCTTCTCGACAGCAAGGCTTGATGGAGGATAACCAAAGACAAACACAAGACCAAATTGTGAAGAAGCAAAGAAGATCTCAGAAGATGAAGATCAGAAATGCTGAAGATACGACTCCAGAGCCTGGCAAGATCCTTGCCGGGGAAAGCCTCCAAGACTCAAGCCCGGCAAGCTCCGAGCCCGACAAGAATCCCACTACCTTGCCACCGCTACACCTCATCAATTAGGTTGTCACTTGTCGATAAGGTGTCGAGCGGGGTAGGTAGTTAGGTGAAACTTGTCTGGGCATGTGGCAGCTCGCCTCTGAAGATACAACTTTAGTGGCACATGTCCAAGTGATGTGTCGAAGGAATAGAAGGTGGATGGGCAAACAACACAGAAGGAGAGATCAGCCTTGTCAGAGAGCTCCATCCGCGAGGTGTCTTCTGGATGGAGCTCTCCGGCAAGGCTGGTCTCTCCTTCTGTGCTGTTCGCCCATCCACTTTCTATTCCTTCGGCACATCACTTGGACGGGTGTCATTAAAGCTGTATCTTTAGAGGCGAGCTCCATCCACAAGACACCTCCAGTCGAACCGCAAAGGGATCGTCAGATGCTATGGGATCATGACGCCCCCTTTGCAGTTCGACTAGAGGGATCAACGAGCACAAAGAGCAGGGCAAGCAGAGAGCACACAGTGTTTACCCAGGTTGGGGCCGCTGTGAAGCATAAAACCCTACTCCAGCTTTGTGTATTGATTGTGTATATATGTGTCCAGCTATAATGAGTGCATGTCCGACAAGTTGCTCAGGAGATGCTGCTACGCGCGTAGAATGGACAAGATTTTGACCTTTGTTAAGGTAGCCATGCGCCTTCTTTTATAGACTAAGGGGTCACCATAGTGGCAAAATAGTAAATCTACATTGTAAATAGTGGCTACAGTGCCAAATACCTAACTCTGACGGATTAGGACAAATTCATTTACTGCACCATGAGGTGTCTTGTGGATGCAGCTCTCCGACAAGACTGGTCTCTTCTTTTGTGCCATTCGCCCATCCACCTTGTATTCATTCGACACATCACTTGGAAGGGTGTCATTAAAGATGTATCTTCAGAGGTGAGCTGCCACATGCCTAGACAAGTTTCACCTAACTACCTGCCATGCTCGACACCTTATCAACAAGTGAAACCTGATCAATGAGGTGGAGCGTGGCAAGGTAGTGGGACTCTGCCGGGCTCGGAGCTTGCCCGACTCTCGAGTCGTATCTTCAGCACTTCTGATCTTCATATTCTGAGATCTTCTTTGCTTCTTCATAATTTGGTCTTGTGTTTGTATTTAGTTATCCTCCGTCAAACCTTGCCGCCGGGGAGGTTACCATTTTTTTCGCGTGGAGGAAGGCGCAGTAAAAGAGAAAATTATGACAGACATGGCAGCTATTCTTCGCCACGCGTGCCTGTGCATATGTTTGGGCCTAGCCCAACAACGCCTCACATGCGTGTGCGGCCCAGGCCCGGGGGCTCCTCTCCGTGTATTAGGAATGCAGTCCTTAATACCCCAAACTTAGGCAGTGGTAGCCTTCCCGACGGCAAGGCTTGATGGAGGATAGCCAAAGACAAACACAAGACCAAATTACGAAGAAGCAAAGAAGATCTTAGAAGAGGAAGATTAGAAATGCTGAAGATACGGCTCCAGAGCCCGGCAAGATCCTTGCCGGGGAAAGACGCCTAGACTCAAGCCCGGCAAGCTCTGAGCCCGACAAGAATCCCACTACCTTGCCACCGCTCCATCTCGTCGACCAGGTTGTCACTTGTTGATTAGGTGTCGACCGGGCAGATAGTTAGGTGAAACTTGTCTCGGCACGTAGCAGCTCGCCTCTGAAGATACAACTTTAATGACACCCGTCCAAGTGATGTGTCCAAGGAATAGAGGTGGATGGGCGAACGACACAGAAGGAGAGACCAGCCTTGCCACTCTGAAAGGTTAGGACAAATGTATTTAATGCATTGTGAGGTGTCTTGTGGATGGAGCTCTCCGGCTAGTCTCCCCTT